GAGTGGGTCGGCGTGGGTCAGCGCGGGTCAGTGTGGCTCAGCACGCGGGTCAGAGTGGGTCAGCACGGGTCAGTGTGGCTCAGCACGCGGGTCAGAGTGGGTCGGCTTGGGTCAGCGCGGGTCAGTGTGGCTCAGCACGCGGGTCAGAGTGGGTCGGCGTGGGTCAGCGCGGATCTGTGTGGCTCAGCACGCGGGTCAGAGTGGGTCGGCTCGGGTCGGCGCGGGTCAGCGCGGGTCGGCGCTGTGGCGCTGACGTGTGTGTCTCTCTGCCCCAGATGGCGAGGGGCGGAAGGTGAAGGGCACGATCCAGCGCAGCACGGAGACGGGGCTGGCCGTGGAGATGCCCAGCCGCACGGTGAGGCAGGCCAGCCATGAGTCCATCGAGGACAGCATGAACAGCTACGGCTCCGAGGGCAAGTAGGTCTCCCCCGCACCCCCGCACCCCACTTTCCCACATGCCTGCTCACTCCTTGCACCCCACTTTCCCAGCTGCCTGCCCTCCCTGCGAATCCCAGTCCTCCGCAATGGAGGGGCAGTAATATAGGGAGCGCAGATCGATCAGATGGCGGAGGGCAGGACTTCACCCCGAGCCGCATCAGCTCCGGGTCTCCTGGATGGCCGGCAAGCCAGAGGGAGCCTGTAGGTTGGTGAAACTCCACTCTGAAGGCACCGCAGCCCAGACGTGACCCAGGACCCCGGGGCTGTGAGGCAGCAGGCACAGAGGGCGCCCACGCCAGCTCCCATTGCTGCCCACGGTGTGGAGGAACTGGTCAACAATCAATTAAACAAATATCTCAAAAGATATATGAGACATTCCGAAGTGCATTTCCTCCATCCCTGAAAGAGTTCTTAACATGTCAAAGCTCTTGTAAGAGTACTATTAGAATTTTATTATACATCATCATATTTAGATACTATATACTCCTATTTGAGCTGACCTTCACTCTGTTTTAATTGATTGGCTTGAAAAACAAGTGGGTTTGTCAGGCTGTGAGTTTGCTCTTTCAGTCCTCTGTGTCCAATGGGTTCCACATGGCCCAGTTCTGTATTCACTTCATGCGCTCCCTGTGGGGGATATTGCCTGTAAGCATGAGGTTAACATTTGTAGTTATACTGGTGATGCTCAGTTGTGTTTATCATTACACCAGGCGACAGCTCTGTTTTGGATAAACATATGTGCTCTTTGGCTGGTGTGTTAAATGGATGACAATTTTTTAAAGATACATTCTGATCAAACACAGATGATGCGTTTGGGACCCCATAATCAACTTAAAAAATATTGTTGCCACCAAATTATTATGCAAATACAGTTATTGGATTTGCATAATAATTTAGTGGTTTCTCTGCTAAATGGAAGGCAGAGATGAGAAATCTAGGAAATATGTTTGATTAAGATTTGTCCCTTGAGCAACATTTTAGATATGCCACTAAGATATATTTTCTTCATCTAAGACACATCGTAGAATCAAACATATTCTTTCCACATCAGACACTGAGAGATTAAAATACACTTGTAACATTAAGACAAGATTATTGTAATGCACCTTTCTGTAATGTATACCATTTCTTGACTACGACTTGTGCAGAATGCTGCTACAAAAATTTGATCAGGAAATTAGAATGTATTACATATCCTTCTTGGCTTACTGAGGATTTTAATGTCCTCCTTAATGGATATTAAGCTCTACATGACTGTGGAACCATATTACTGCAGACCTGTTGATCCCTTATCTTTCTCATTGGTCTGTTAGGTCACAGAACTCAGCTCCGCTATTTGTCCCAGAGGCGCAGAGAATAATATTTTTTGTGGTGTTTGCCCCTAAGCTATGGAGTGACCTGAACCAATTAATCAGGGAATCTCCTGTTGCTGCTGATCAGATTAAAGTCCCATTTTCACCACCTGTCTATTAGAATACTGTGAAAGATTCTCCTAAATGTTTTGTATTGAATACAGTTAAGTTTTGTGTTATTTGCAATATAGATTTTATATCCCTCTATCACTAATAAACAACCTCCAGTTTTGTATCATAAAGGAGAACACATTGATTTTCTATCAAACTGAACCATGACCCCTTGCTAAAAATGTATTTAAATAAAATTCTGGTTACTCATTCCAGTAGCAGTAAAGGAAGAAATGTGCACCAATTTTAAAATGAGCCTGCTGGGTTTTCTGTTTTTATCAGAGGGAAATAATTTTGCAGGAGTGAAGCTGTTTGTTATTTTTCCCAGTCTGTCCAGCCGTGAGCTCAGTAATCTTGTGGCTTGTCATGGAAGGATCCTCCATCGCGTTCTCTCTCCTGTCCGTCATTGAGATGCCATTGTGTCCACCATGACCACTAAAGCTCAAAAAGCAGAACCTGAAAGGACATTTTCCTTTTTGGGAGGCTCCAGTTGTCACGTTCGTAAACCCCTCCTCTTAAGGGCGCTCCAGCCCTTCCTTGTTTTCCACTCATCGCCCGCGCCTGCTCCCTGTTCCAGCCCCCTTTCAGTTCTCCTTAAAAGCCAGGCACTCACTCTGTTTCGGGCTCTGCTCTGGTTTCCACACCAGGCGACTCAGAGACCTGGAAGCGCCTAGTCCTGGTCCCGGTCCCCATTTTTAAAATCTTGTTTGTCATTGATGGACAGCCCGGTTTTGGACTTTTGCCTCCGTTTGGATTCCCCCTTGGACTTTCTCCTGGATTGTTTGCCTTGGCCACACCTCCCCCGAACACCAGCGCACCATGGCCACGCCCCCTGTATTAATTCCCGACTCCTGCATGCCTTTTTTCCCCGTGTTTTCCCCACTCATTCCTGGATTGTGTCGCCTGCATAGGGTCCAGAAAGAACTTGTTCGTTACACCAGTTCCCTGGAGAATGCCTGTGTCTGCACAATGCCTTGTTGGTAGGCACCGCGCCCGATCGGGGTCGGGGGGCAGGACCTCGCAGAGCGCTCAGTCAGACACCCGCGTGCTCTGGCACTGGCCAGCTCACGTCTTGCAAAATTCTTGCACCCCCTTCTGGAGCGGCTTGAGGCCTCAGAGAGAGCAGCCTTCCTTGAAGAGAGACTGCAGAGAGCAATCAGAGTAGCTCGCTAGAGACTCAGAGTTTCAGGGGCCTAACTTTAACACTGGTGTTATATGAGGAGGAGTAAATATTTCACTAATGTAATAATAGCTCATTTTTTGTTAGTCATTTATTAACATGCATTGTGCCTCAGATTCTGCACCAGATAAAACACAGCAATTAAGCTTTTCTGGGTTTCCTTTAAAGTCCACAACCACGGGTCGCCTCCAGAGTCAAATTGCCAGGACAGGCCTCATTCTCACACGCAAGAGGGAATTATAAACTAGAATGCTTTATATAAGCAGTTTCATCACTGTCAACCCATCTAATCTGTCTGTGGTCTCCTGACAACAGAATTAGACACCAGTTCAGCCCCATGCAATTAGTTTCAACAATAACCTCTCTTCTGAGGCCATTAATTTTTTAATACACAGCTATCTGTTGGAAGCAGAAACGATTTATATTGCCAGGCTCTGTGTCTCATTATAATCAGCATATTGCTCATTTAATTGCATTGCCTTATAAATAAGAAATCAAAAGCCAAATGACGTTGAAGCAATGTCTCCTTTCCTGCAGGGGTCAAGCTGAAGACTGACTCCCACAGAAACAGGAACTCGGATCTATGTTTGCATCTGGCTTCTTTTAAGATTCGTTTAGCAAAATGGCTTGGTCAGTTCTGATGAAGCTGGTCTTTGTGAGAACAGATCATGTACAGTGCTAAATCGTTGCACTGGAGGACAGAGTCAGAAAACAGCAGCAGACCTGTGATTAGATGTCAATGGGCTTAGACAGAATATTAAAGTGCTCATTTCACTTAATCACAGGTGCTGCAGGGTATGTCAAAGGTGATTGTGCTATAGAAAAAAGACATCAGTTTTACCAAGGTTGTCTACATGGACCTAGGATTGTTACATGTGTGAAACCGAGCAGAAAATTGATTATATTACTGAAACATTCTTAACAGAAAATGGAAATGTTTTTTTAACAGTTCCACACTCCACAGTGAAAGACATTGCCTGAGATGTGCCGATGATCAGACAGATGAACTGCTGAAGATTTTGTTGCAGTTTCCATGTTAACATACAGTAATGTGAAATGCTTACAGAAAAGTTACGGCATAGCTGCAGAAACACTGTACAAATTTACACCGGGGGACTAACTGAGGAAAGACATAGGCCCAAGAGCCAAGAATAGGTCCTGTGTGCTGATGGTTTCCATTACAGAGGGTCGCTGTATTTTTAGGGAACTTTTACTGCCTGAACTGTGACCTGTGCAAGTGCTCACATATCAGATAGTGTAAATCAGTTACGGCCCCAAGGCAGATCTGCCTTGAAAGACTGCAGGGCTGCCATGGAGCGCAGAGGTCCTGTCTGTGCTCTGGGGTCACTGTGCCCTCAGAGGGATTGACACAGTATATGAGCTCGTGGATGGGAGACTTTTCCTAAGGTTAATCATGCTCAAAAACCTGCTTTGCTTTGTCGTGGTGCCCACAGTTTGTGCCACTGCACACCCTGCACCCCCACACAGCCAGGTGTACCTCACGGCACTTCACAAGCCTTCAGTCTGCCTCTACTGCAGTTTAGCATGGAGTGAACTGCCAGCAGACAGGCTGTGGCCTGAGATAACCCTCGCCCTCTGTGCCCTCTAATCCCTGCAGGACCTGTAAAGGGTTTGGCTGAATGTGATAAACCTTCCCTGGATTAGTCCTAATGACACAGTGCGGAGCTGCACTAAAGCACCAGCTTTGTTCTCTCTCCCTCTGTCCACACACCTCCTGAGTTGTGGAGATTGTTTAGAAAGCTGGGATCAGAAAATTACCTTGCTTTTTCTTGCTAAAATCCAGTGACTGCCACTGTGCTTTTATTTTACAAAGCTAGAAACAGTCCAGAAAAAGTGGAGAAATTTGTAGATTTGTAAGGAGACACTGAAACAGAAATAAGGGATGAGGTCTCTTCTCTTGAAGGCTGTGGGCATTTCCAGATTGATGTCTTTGAAGTCTCACCCAAGACTCACCCAAGGTTTTCCCTTGAGTCCTTCTCCTACTGTTTAAGCAACTGTATTCAACCAGCCCTGCTATTTATTCTACTGTGACAATTCTAATACCAATGTTTGTATTCCTTTCAAATAATAATAGAGCTGTGAAATGAAGGGATCTATGTACTTCCCATGACATTACTCTGTTAGTCCCTGGATAATGCCATTGATGGAAACCAAAATATCTGCAGGAGCCCTCTGCCATTGAGCTCTGATTGAAACAGGCTTTACTCACTTACAGTTGTATGGCTGTCAGGACCTGTATTTGAGGAACTGTCAACAATAAGCACCTTTAATGCAAAACAAAAGCCACAAGAAAGTGTTACAGTACATAATGTGAAACAATACACCCAAAGGACAGCCAGGTATCCCACTTTCAGCAGCTGGATGGTTTTGAATTTAAACTGGTCTCTCACTAGTGGGATCCCTGAGCAATTGTAGGACAGGATTATTAAATAGAAGAACACTAAACTCTCACACATTCACGTATAATGAGTGACTCTCCTTTAACTATAAAACCCTTTATAGTAAAGGAACAGAAAACCTCATGAAACAGCATTTCACTGAGCTAGGACAAGGAGTATACTGACTCTCACAGCACAACAGACTCCAGTAACTTCACACACTTGGCTTTTTAGAATGTTTATTGGACTGTTAGTTGTAAAAGCTAGGTACAAAAGGAAATGTGTTTTCTTTAGTTTTATTCATTTGATCAGAAATGTACTGATCACACAATTAAAAATAAACACTTCTGCGTGTGCTTTGCCCAAAATGACTTTGATACATTCAAAGTATTGTATATTATTTCTAATATAGAAGCTGCTTGTAACTATCAGGCAATGCTCAGTCCTAGTGCTTGTGTTTGCAGGAGGCAGGAATGGAGACATCAAGGGGAGATAAGGATATGAGGAAACAGGCAGTTAGTGCAGCTCTCTGGGAAGGCTGCAGACTTCAGCCCCATTCTGAATGTGACCACACCTGAGAACCACTGTGAAAATTACTTATTCAAGCTTTTTATTAAGAACAGAAGAAGTTTTAATAACCTTTAAGGAGACAGTTAAAGCTTTAACTTTAGCATGTTAGGTTCTGTAGTAACTAGCAGATCCAAAGATCTCATTCAGTTGTCTCCAAGACATCACCTCCAACGGCATGGCTAGGCAGCTTGTTTCAGACTCCAAGAACCCTTTGAGTAAATAAAGCCTGATCTTCATTTTAAATGTACTTAATTTTTTAGTTTATTTGATTATCAGGAGCTAAAAACCACACATGACATTGAGAGATTAAAGCAGTAAAATATGTAATGAAGCCCTGAAGTAAAGTAGTGTCATGTAAATAATGCAGCACAGGGAGGACCCTGATGACTCTTTGACAAGGTCCAGTCTCAGGTGAATGCCTTGACATCCTGAAGATCTTTTCAGTCTTTGTCATTGGGCAGCTGAGAACTACAAATTAACAACACGGCAGTGTCTTCAAAATCTGTGGGACCAGAACAAAGGTTTATTCCAGCAGGAATTGCAAACTCACTCCCTCTAGTGAGGCATGAATAAAACCAACTAAATCTCGGTATGAATGAAGACACTAGTTAATGTCTGTAATAGTATTACCACTGATGCTCCTGCAAATACAACAGTCTGGTAAAACCTGGAAGCTGTTAGATGTTGTTTTGGAATTGCGGGTTCTGTCTTGCTGGTGCCATTTGAATAAATCCTGCAGTATCCACTTGTCCGTCAGCCCTGGATCACCAGACACCTGCGTCGCCTGGCACAAAGATCTTGCATCTGCTCTCTCTCGGGGAGAGGCTGTCCAGCAGGAAACCACACCACGTTCACCACACCCCTCTCAGCTCCAGGCTCGCGTACTGCACTCCTGTCATCATGCAGGGCGGTGCCTCCAACCCCACAGGGGTGGATAAATATTTGAAGCAGTTTGAATAAATGATGTGCCCCGGGGCTCTGCGTGACAGCAGCAGGGAATCGCTGGCACACTCCCTGCCCCGCAGGGTGCGTTAGCGGAGCAGCACAATCCGTTTTCGAAGAGCCCTTGACCTACATAGCTGAAGACGCCCTGAGAGAGGAAGGGCTGAGGAGGGCCAGGGGCAGGGCAGAGCTGGGAACTGCTCGAAGAGACGCTGAAGGCTGACACTACTACTACTGAACTGTCACTCTCGACGTCCTCCTAGCCAGCCCGGGTGGACTATATTGTATCCCACACGGGCAACACAGACTGGGGACAGGGCTGGAACAGACTGGCAGGACTGGGGTCTCTGGAGACAGGACAGCTGAGCCTCCAGCAGCTGACGCAGGCCAGCCCAGAGCCGTTCAAAAATAGATTGAGAGGAAAATAAAAGAAGACCAAGATTGAAAATAAATCCAGGTCAGAACTTAACACAGGATGAAAATTAAACGCCTCTCTGAAGCTCGATGGGAAATTATGGAACGCAAGCACATAAGGAAATGAGGACAGATAAAAACAGAGACAGAGAAGGAAGCAGAAGGAATCCAAACAAGTCATCTCTGTCAGGCGTCAGCACTGTTGACTACAGGGTGCTTGGAATGAGACTACAAGTGAATTTATTTGTGGAATGACTGTATATCACATTGAGCAATGGTGACAAAGCTTTCTTGAAATCTAAATTCAACAATAATTTGCATTATTTTTAGTAATTTGATGCTGTAGAAAATGAATACCAACTAACATTTCAGCAAGAACTCTTTGCATTACTCTGACCCCATGTCCCTCTCCTGTGTTTCGCAGTCTGAACTACAGTGGTATGTGTCTGGCCTCAGACGCTCAGTTCAGTGACTTCCTGGATGGGATGGGCCCAGCGCAGTTCGTGGGGCGGCAGACGCTGGCCACACCTTCCATGGGTGAGTGTCCTGCACACGGAGCAAGCATGGCCACGCCTCTGTTCCAATACAGTGCATGAATCACCACTGAACACCGGGAATATCTTCCACAGGTCCTGCAAGTTCTGATACAGCCCCACACACAGCACAGAGTCAGGGCTCCGCCACATGCTAATAAGACGTCATAGGCAGTTGAATGTGCGCTGTAGGAATTCACTTCATCTTGTGTCTGCTGAATGAAACTGTGACTCTATAAAGAAATCAAGACACAATGTACAGTAGCTGTGAGTAGATGTGACCTGCGCTCCCTGTCTGTGTCTCCAGGGGATGTGGAGATCGGGCTGCTGGAGAGGAATGGCCAGCTGGAGGTGGAGATCATTCAGGCCAGGGGGCTCACGCTGAAGGCAGGGTCCAAAACCCCCCCAGGTACGGAGGTCCTGCCCCACACACTGGCAGGACACACAAGGTCTGTTTTTGCATGACAGCCCAGTAAAATACTTGGTTCAAATTCGTGAGTGATCAAGTGGTCAGGACCAGAGGAAATCAGGTGCTGTGAAATTCTGTTTAATTCTGTTACAATTCTTTATAAATCTGACTATCATTCTCAAATAAAGGACAATGTAAAATGAGGTGCTGTGACTCATTTAATGAAATGTACTTTTTCATTACAAGTGCTGCTGATTATCTTTTCAGTAAGACTTCAGTGGAGTCGAGAAGACTAAATCAGAGCTTTTTTAACATGCAGAATGCCACTTCACGCATTCTGCATTTTCTCTTTTCAGCTGCATACATAAAAGTGTATCTACTTGAAAACGGCATCTGCATCACCAAAAAAAAGACAAAGTCGGCGCGGAAATCCCTGGACCCCCTGTACAACCAGGTGCTGGTCTTCTCCGAAAGTCCTCAGGGGAAAATCGTTCAGGTAGGTGAGCTGGGATGAGAGAAGGGAATTCTAATCACCAGAGTCACCTCACCTCTGCTGCCAAACACACCCGAGGAGGTACCAATCAATACTGGGAAATTAGCTTGTGTTGTCCTTTGTACATTGTGTGCTAAAAACTGGATTGCTTAGCAACACTGGTCTGACAGTCAGGAGGACCCGGGTGTGGAGTCTAATCTAAGTGTACCTTGTGCCAAGGAGCGCAGTGGGAGTCAGGGGGCAGGAGCAGGCAGATTTCATGATATTGAGAGATTGCAGGGCTCTGCAGGGCACCCTGAACTTTCTGCCTGGCCCCCAGACTGAGCAATCAAGCAGGAAGGCTCTACTGCAAACAGGTTCCTGCTCTTAGTATCACGTATTGGGCATCTTCTCATTTCATTCTAGATATCTATTTTAATTTCACTTTCGGTTTGTTGTAATGGGTGGATTACATACAGCTTCAGTATTCAGTCAGGCATGTGGGCAGGAGCCGGACCTTGACAGCGCAGTGCTGGCTTTATAGTTTTGAGCCGTGTCAACAGCCGGTGAATTATTATATGAATAATTTGGTGTCTTGTCACTGAATAATGAGATCTCACACCTCCCTGCTTCTCCTGCTGTTCAGTGATGGCCCTGTAGCTCTGCCGGAGCTGGCTGAGGGACAGGAACATGATTCTTCGGATTTTTGGGTATCCGACAAAAGCCAAATGTTTAATATTTATTTAAAATGTATTTTTCTGGAGAGAACATTTATTCCTTTCTGTCATAACAAATGTCGAATTTTAAAACATTTCCCAGCTCTCCATCTGGAAAGATGTTGATGCTCAGCTGTAAGCAAACTGTGTCCTTAGAGGAGTCCTGAGGAACATCCGAGGATTCTCAGTCCAAAAATGGCACAGCTGTGCACCGGTACTGTAAATAGGCAGAGATGCTCTGTCAGACAGCTCGCGTATGTTTGTGTAACGTTTATCGTTAATTACGACATCATCGCATTAACTGTTAACAAATCAAAATCTCCTCCCACTCACATCAGAATGGGACATACGTCAGACCTGTAGATATTGTAGTTTGACAAGATATTCAAAATATTTTTGAAAGGTGTCTGTTTTTTATAAAATAACCCTGCGGGCCCTGCTGTGTGAGATACAGGCTGGTCTCCTCTCTGGCCTGTCTGCTGCAGATCTTGTCTTGCTCTCAGCAGGGCAGAGGTGTGAGCTGGAGTCGGTCCTTCAGCAACGTTCTAACAAGATGTCTGATGCACTTTCAGATGTACTGTACTTGCCAGATCATTCCGTAGCCTCAGTTTAGCTAACCTTGGAAGCGAAACAGCTAGCATGTCTCCCAATCTGCAAGGAAGCCTGTGCTGATTTTTCTGGAAAGGCAAATGGCGGATTAGCGGTGTTGAATCCAGACATTAACGAGAGCTGAGCTCGGGCTGCTCCGGAAAGCGCTTTTTTTGCGCTTTCCCCGTCCCCGTGATGAAATCCTGTCCTGGACAGACGGGCTCTGAGTGGGTGTCAGGTGCACTGGAAGTTAAGGCCCTGTTTCCCTGGCTGTCCGCAGGTGATTGTGTGGGGGAACTACGGGCGCATGGACCGCAAGTGCTTCATGGGAATGGCCCGCATCCTGCTGGAGGAGCTGGACCTGTCCACCATGGTGATCGGCTGGTACAAGCTCTTCCCCACCTCCTCCATGGTGGACCCCGCGATGGCGCCGCTGATCCGGCACTCCTCCCAGCTGTCGCTGGAGAGCACGGTGGGGCCCTGCTGCGACCGATCCTAACACTGCCAGCGGGGGACTGTGTTTTTCGTGCGTCTCTTTCTGTGCCCGAGGCGCCCGCCTCCGGGCGCTGCATGCATGTCTCCAGGGCCCGGCTGCGAGGGGGGAGGGTGGGGGGGTGAGGCTGCTCTTTGGCGTCTGGCAGGGGAGACTTAACCGGAGCGGACCAGTGGACTCAGAATCATGACCAAGGAACTCTGGGAAACCCCATGATTCCACCTGCAGGCAAGGGCTGTCATCACGTCCTGGGGTTCGACACGCAGGTTCTCTCCACCCTATCTGAGCTGTTACCTCACAGTGTTGGAATCAGTGGAGGATCAATATATTGTTTGACACGGGAGTGGTTTTGTTAACAACAGGATGCAGAATCTCTCACGGCGGATTCTCTGTCACTTAGCGGGGTTGGAGTGCAGATCGAGTACCTGGTACTGAAGGAACACAAACAAACCGAATAGCAGATATCACTCAACGGTCAAGCAAAAATCTTGTTGCACATGGATATTAGTCGAGTGTCACACAAACAGCTTCAGATGTTGGCATTGTATTTATCTGAAACACAAATTGGGTTCAAGAGGTCCTGCAAGTGATCGCTGTTGACGCTTGACTCACTCGTGAGCTGCATCCTTCACTGAGTTTCTACTCTGCCAATCTACCAGCAAGTGTCTTGAATCTTTGTGGCTTGTGCCAGTGTGAATTGAATAGATTTGCTTCTTGAACTGAAATCTTAATAGTGTGTATCACTCAAGATAGATATTTGAGCAGTAGAGTTAGGTGCAGAGCGCTTTTATAATGAGTGATTATCCCATTGGATCAATACGAAACATTTTGTTCTTAGTTTATACAATGATTTCTAGAACTGAAGAAAAAAATTGTGCGTTTTAGTTCATTTTCTTATCAGACAACTGCTAATAATATTGGTTGGAATGATTAGAGCACAGAGAAATCCTGCAAAAAAAAATCATTTTTAGGGATGAAAGACTGTGCACAAAAATTTAACAAGATTAGGTAAATGAATAATTGAAAGTGAATGAGTTAGTATTTTATTGCCATGAATGTTTAAATCATTGGTAGTCAGGGCTGATCCAAAGTGTTTTTTATCCTTTGGAACTGATGAAGAGTGATGTTTAGTGAAGAAAAATGAAGTGTGTGAAACAGGAAGTATTTTGGCACTGGTGGGTCTGCACAACTTTAGCACTAGGAATCACTTTGGCATGAAAATTGTGTATTTTAATTAGGCAGAGTAGCAGTAGAAAAGCATGAGGTGGTTATTAGTAAGAGGGAACCAGCAGAAATTTAGCTGGTGAAAATAAGCCCTTTTTTTTTACTTGGTTTAGGGAACAAATATGTAGCAGCAAATTACTCTAGTAGATTTTTAGACGCAATACTGCTCTATACTGTGAGCCACACTGGAAACACACCAGACAAGAGATGCAGTCGAACTCATTGTTTTAGTTTATCTTTGAGAAAAATTCTGAAAGTATTTTTAAAATGCCAAATAAAAATCTCTTTGGAATTGGTGATCTCAGCAAAGTGGCACCCACAGACCAACTGCATGTTTGAATTCTGATCATTTCTCCGCATTTTGAAAATGTCTGAAGCCATTTATGTGTTTCAGTAACATGCTTAAAACTGAAACTTCATTTGAGTGCACTTATTTTTATTTTTAATAAAATACAATATTGCAGATTTGCATATATTAACAAAGCTCATGATGAAATGTCGTAAATCAAATTCATGTTAAATGTGTTGCTGTTTTGTGCAGACAGATTGTAATGAGCTTATTGCTCTGTGTTCTAGGCAGGATTATGTTTGACATGTGACATATGTAACAACATAATTACAATAGTAATTATACATGTATCAGGAATACACATCAGACACTTCAAAATAAAGATACATTCTTTCTTTGAAATTGAGTCTTCACAGCCAAACACAAGAATTTCAAGAATCTCCCTTCTGAAACTTCAATGTTAAATGGCTTATAAATATAAAGTTGTTCTAAAACAAATACAGATAAAAAACTAAACAGTATGTAGCATTTCTATATATATCCATTTTCAGATTTGCCAAAGGTTTTGTACAGATAGAACACAGAAAGAAGCATCTCTCTCAGTACAACATCACAGTTCATGTAATAATATACTGTGTTGTGTAAACGATCTGCGCTGAAACTCGAACAGAATGCTTTGTGAATTTAATGTACTGTATTTAAGAGTGTTTTATTTGTACCTTCATGTGTTCGGAGCTTATTTTCTTTTCTTTGAAAGCAATAAGTTTTAGTGCCCTGTTGGAACCAGCAGGCGTCCAGCTGTCTGCCTGTTCTGAGTTATGCCACACGGAGCTGTGTAGGGCAGACTGCTCGACTGCTTGAGGAGGAAGCACACCAGTGTCACCATGTACCTGATACATACAGCACGTTACGAAAACCTGTCAATGACAAACACAGAAAGACATTTTCTAAATACTACATGCGGTACACTTGCTAGCTTTGAATGAAATATTATACGTATTAATAAGATATAGGGAAATACAACATTTCCAAATAATACACTGTAATATAGCGGAAATATAAGGGAAGATCTCAATGTACTGTATGTTTACTGTAGTGTTCAGGCTTGGTAATGTAACTTCCAGATTTCTATATGGTCTTAAAAAATGGATTTCCTAAGGGGTCAAGTAGCCCCTTTCCTGTTATTTAATACCAGTTTGAAGCACACTGATGTTGCCCCGTCCCTTCTAGAGAAACAATGCAAATAAAGACAAGATATAAAGAGTAGTGCTAGAGAAATTCTCTCTGCAGAAATGTAGTAAATGACTGTCTGTAAATTCCACGTGTTTAGGTTTAAATTCTCTGTTGCAGATGACTGAGAGATGTTTACAGTATGTGTTATTAAAATCTGTTAGTTCAGTGCTATTTTCTAAGTATAACAAAATAACTCATTTTAAGTGCATCGTATTGTAAAATGCATTGTTTAATGTTTGCTCTCAATACTTGATTGTTAGAAACTAGAATAGGAATTTACTGGAATTTCCACGTGTTTGGTTTACCTTTGACTACCTTTCACTTAGCTACCTGTTTAACTACCGGATGATCAACAGGGGCTTTACAGCCTCCCTCTCGCTTGCAGCCTTCCTTCTGATTGGATGGTGCCACAGACTGGGTTTTGTTTTCAATCACTAGGAATCTTTTAAGGAGCAGCTAATTTGGACTTTTACCCCAAATTTCAACTTCAACTCCAAGGCAACACCTTTTTAACATATTCATTTACAATTTTGTTATCAGAATGTCCCATTAAATGAAGTGGGCCGAAGCAACATTTCGCCGTTGCCTCACACACGGATGCGTTTTGACAACACCATTGTAAACAAATGTACTGAAGTGCAAACAATTGCTTTTTTAAACTATTGTTAAGTCAAGTCTGCGTTAACAAAGGTTTTCAAACACTGCTCTGTCACCTCAGCACCTGAGTGTATAGGAGATCTGCAGTCACGCCTTTCACCATGAGTTATGCTTACACAGAAACCTGCTTGTACATGTATTTTGTCAGTATTCTACAAAGGTTTGATGAAGGGTAATTTAGCATGAGAAAATCATACTGAAAAGGAGGTTTTTGTCAAAATTATTTATACCCTTTGAATGTATTTCAATTGACTGACCTCATTTTAAAAAAAAGCATGGACTATTTAAACCTCAATCTTTTGAAAGTAGATTTGAAAGAGAAATGTTAATGTTGGAAATATTTTAACAATACATAATATAGCTAGTTCTAAATTCTGTCTCCTGTTTGTTTATTAGACTCAGATATATTTTATCTTCTCTCAGAAAATTAAAGAGAAAGTGTTTTGAGACTTGTTTTAGATGTTGTTGAAATGAATCTGGCTGTTTTATGATTGATATGCCTGTTTTTTTACCCATCAAACAACATCATTGAATGAAAAAAGAGGTTCTTTATCAGAATGGAGGAGTTTTAACAATGTAACATTTTTGATAATAAGCGATTTCATCAAACTGATTAACGATTAGCCTGAAGGTGGTTGGCCAGAGAGTATTGGATTTGTTTGAACTTCAGGCTAATGGACTGAAGTTTATTTTTTAGCATTTGAAAGCACTGTTAATGCAGTACAATAAGTCTTCACTTAACAGAGGCCTCAGCTATTGTTAAAAGTGGATTGGCCAAGGATGAAGCAAGCTGTCCATTCTGGACTGCTCTTTAATTATGAGTCAATCACATAAGATAAACAATATATTATGAATGAACATATATATATATACCTGTAACTGGGAGTGCCCCACTGTAGAAAACCACTTGCTCTAATCCGCACAGGAGTCCAAAACAGATGTTTTTATTTTTATTAAATGAATGAATCTAAAAAAAATGAACTGCAAATAGTGCGGAGAAGGTTCAGTAGTTGCAAGAAAGATCCACTTTCTTTTCTGAAAATTGCCCCTCCGTGTTTACTCTGTTCACGTGCCCTGGGTGGCCACTGTAATCGAGGGCCTCCTGTCGCGTAGAACCGGCAGGGAAAAGGCTCTGTCCGTGACCAGTATTAGGGGTCTTGGGGTCCCCAACAAAGCCACCTTCCTGCTGAAATGTACATATCAGTCGCGCCTGCGGGCGTGAAACTGGCCACAGCGCTTTCAGCGCCCTCGGCCTGACAGAGCCGTGGGCGGCAACAAAGTTTTATCTTTTCTTTTTTTCCACACAGATGTATTAAGAATAATTTATTATGTGTAGATTTTAATTATTTACAATGATGTTGCAGTTGAATAATGCACAATTTGGTGTCGTTGTTAAACTATTACAACTGTTAATAAAAAAGGTTGATTGATCCCACTGGCAGCTTTTCTGTATCTTTTGCCTCTGATTTTACACTCCCCCACCATGCTGCCGGGCCCCAGGGCCTGTGGTCAGAGTGCAGCGTGTCCCTGCTGGTGTCTCCAGGGTACCGTCCAGGTCCCTGGTGCTGCTCTTCTCAGGTCAGCACAGAGGGTTTGTGAGAGGGGAAAGAGGTCAGACGGGGGCGCACTCTGAAGGGCCTGCTCTCGTTTGGAACTGTTCTCGTGTGCTTCAGCTCCGGGACAGCTCCTAGTACTCGACTCCAGCCTGCCAGGGGCTCAGGAGAGCCTGGGCTCGGCAGTGTGGGGCTGGTGTGGGAGCAGCTCACTGGGTGCACTCAGAGCCAGGCCAGACACTGGGGAGTGATCTGTTCTGGATCAGAGACCGAAGGCCGGAGTATAAGACACACCGCATCTTCCTTGTAAGAAATATGACATTCAATCTTCTATACCTTTTGTTTGAGTGATAAAATAATATTTTTTTGTTATATAGAGTACATAACAAATAAAAGAGAACCTACATGTTATCAGTTATCCTGGTAAAGTTAGAGAAGAGAAGGATGTACAAACCGGGAGCAACCGTGGACACTGATGAATATATATAAATATCTTTAGAAGTGTCCATCATTCTTGAATATCCACAATCTATTAAACACAGACCAAATACAACACTTTTTAGAATGTAAACAGTTTTACAACAAAGTACAACAGTTTTACAAAGCACCCTTCTCTAAGAAGTCTTACAGTACATGCTTTCACTGTGAAAGAAATTGAGTGAATTAGCTAATACAAAACACGAGGCACGACAAACTTTTGACTGAATGCCTTCGATGACACAAAGTATTTTCCAGTAGAATACATTTAGCAGTCCTTTTCCAAAGGCAATAACGTCACTAAAGAATGACAGATTTCTACTCATCAAGCAGGGGATCTGCCAGACCCAGAGTTATTGTGGCGTATTCGTACAGTCTCTGACGTCTCTTCTGCAGCAGCAGGGGACGAGTCCGCTCACCCCAGGAGGGTGATGATGACGCTGTCGTCACGCCCCTTCCACAGCATCTCCCCCTCGAAGGCCACCATGCCGTGCTTGCGGCAGCGCAGCAGGATGCCCACCACTTTGTCCGAGATCTTCACGTACCGGTCGAAGAGGCGGCCGAAGGTGACCCGAGCCCCACCGTCCGGACCTCTCGCCCCCAGGTCCCTGATGATGAAGCACATCTCCTCCATCTCCCGGCGGATGTGGCGCTGGGCGCGCTGGGCTCTCTCGGCCGTCCGGGAGCCCTCCTTGGGCCGCCCGTAGCCCTCGTCGCCCTTCTGCAGCCGCAGGGCCATGGCGTGCACGTAGTCGAACCCCTCGCTGAAGGGGTTCAGCTTCTGCTGCTCCAGGTGCTGCTCTGACCACACCTGCCACCTGCTTCTCAGGTCCCCGAGAGTGACCACCTGGATCTGGACAGCAGAGGGACAAGACAGCACCTTACTAGACAGCACAGGGACAGGACAGCATGTCACTGGACAACAAACGAGTCTTAGGTTAGTGAGTTTCTTCACGTTCGGGATATCAGGAAATTAACACAACTTTTACATATTTTCCTAATTTTAAATGTAATGTAGAATCTGAAGTCCTCAACACAAACCTATTTCCACCAAACATTTAAGCTGGCTCATCTCTAAAAGGTTAAAAAATAGCTTTAAGGATGAAAACCATAAACAGGTTTGATTTGATATATTTTCAGGCCTTTAACGTCTGTGCTGTTTTGCAGTGAAAGAAAAAGAAATAGAGGAGAAAACACTTCAATAATCCACAGGTGTATCAGGCTTTTAGAAGTGAAAGACCACAGTTTTCCCTCGAGGACCAGTACTCCACCTTCGGCCGGTCCTTGTTCCTGGTCTGGCCGGTCTGGCTGGGCGGCCTGTCCCCTGTCCTGCCATCGGCGTCGGTGTCGCTCAGCCCCTCCTCGCCCAGGCCGCTGTCCTGGGTGTCCAGGCTGCTGCTCCGGGAGCCCAGCCTGCGGTCCCCCCGCCCCCACGCCGGCGACCACTCGCCCAGGGAGCGCTCCCCGTCTCCGGGCCCCCCCTGCTCTGCGAGGGCCCTGACCCGCTGGCTCCCACAGCCGCTCTTTGCCACGGCGGCCGCTCCAGCGCTGGGGGCCCCCTCGCCAGCGAACACGGAGCCCCGGGGCTCTGCCCGCACCCCGGCGCTCACAGGGGGCCTCAGCCCACCGGCCGCCGCCCTGTGGCTTCCGTCCTGGGTCAGGGAGCTGGGCACCCAGCCGGCGGGGGCGGCCCCCTGCCTGCCCGCGTGCTCGGAGGCCCAGCTCTGCCAGCTGCGGGCCAGGCTGCTCACCGCGGAGGCGCAGCGGGGTTTCCGCACCGCCGTGGCCATGCCCGTCTCCGGCCCGGCAGGACGAACGCTCTGCCTCTGCCCGAGGAGGAGATCAGCCTTTTATAGAGGAGGAGGGTCATGTGCAGCATTCCTGAAGCACACGGCATGCCCTGTGACCCCGGAGACAGATGGAATTTTCCCCTCGGATCTCTCCGGAGCAGGTGGTCCGTACGGAGGGAGTGCTTGTTTTATTCCCGGCACATGATGCCAGAGCTGCTCCCCCCGGTGACACAGCTTCCAGACAATTTTGGAAAACCTTGTCTATTTTTAAGCAAGACAATCAGAAGTCTTTTTGTATCCTGTACAGGAATAGAGCAGGAATTCTAATAGGAATTGTTGTTTTATTGGATAAATCTTTAGGTTAATGGGAAACGTATGAAACCTCTCCTGAAACCAGACACTTTTAATTACAGTTTTATTGATTGCAGCTTGTTATGTCAATCAGCCTATCTTGGAAAGGCTATATTGCTAAATTTAAAATTAAAAGTGATAATCAAGAAGACGATTAAAGCAAGCGGATCTCAGGAGCACTGGCTGGACTGCTCCCACGCAGCACCAGGGCTTGTGTTGGTGTGGAAGTGCTCCTGTCCCAGCTGTGGCCTCCTCAGCCCCACACAGGCTGGTCCTGTTTCCTGGTCTTAGCTCCGGGAGCCGGGCTGGGAGTTATTTTGGGAGCACCGTCAGGGTCCTGGAGAACTGTCAGAAGGGAATATTTAAAAAGAAGGAAACCTTTCTAAAGCACACGAGATGGCTTTCTGCTACTTCCTTCCCTTACTGAGTTTGTGGGTGACCAGGGCGACTCACTGGGCTGGAGATCACCCTGCTTTCTGAAGCGATAAGTGGACAAGAGACCATGTGACACCCCTCCCCAGGACAGGACACCAGTCCATCACAGGGATGACCCCAGCAGTACTGGTTCCCACTCACACTAGATGGACTGGAGCCACTGGGATAAAGCACTGCACTCAAGGTACGACAGCAATCACGTATCGGAAGGCCCACCTTTCTACCGCTTCTTTAAGCACGTGGTGAGATGGTCCGCACACTACATGCACGTGAATCGCCGACAGGGAGGCTGGGGCTTGTCTCTGGGGCTTGGCAGCACTGGAAGCCTGTAGATAATGTGATCTGGTCAGTGACGGTGACTCTGACCCAGTGTGAGCACAGTGGATGTGTGTTGGTTAGTTCTGGCAGGGCTCTGGCCTTGAGGGTTTCCCGGTGCACTCTGTCCTAGTCACTACCATCGATCCCTATTAACAGACTTTCCAAATGATCTCATGTGTTTGGTTTTCAGAATTTAGGCTCTGCTAATACTGTTATTTATAAGTTGTGTATATGGCGGTAATGCCTCCCTTCAGCATCTGATTACTTCTGTATACTTCAGAGATGCTTATTTTTTATGTTTCGGGTCTTAGTGCAGTGGAGTTCTTCATACACCCTTCTGTAAAAGTCTAGACAGTGTGGATTCCTCTCACCTTTATAAAGTAAGCTTTTCATGCCTTACCACAGAATCCAAACCACAGGAATTTCTCGAGGAAGATTAAGCTCCTGCTCTTTCTAATACTGAAGATAGCAGAGTGTTCTATACATGCACTCAGACAGAACCAGCAAAGTCTCTAATTTTCCTTCCTTTCCCAATGAAATGTCTTCATACTATTTTTGGAATGTAATAATATTTAAAAAATCTATCTGTCAGTTTCTTATATACCAGATTCTTTGTCAGTTCTCAGCTGGAAGCTTCTATAACTTAATAAGCCTGAGGGGAATGAGATGTGAGATTGTGTTGGCCTGGCAACATTTTTGTCTTTAGGGGGGATGCATTAACCTTATTACTGCCAGGCTCTGAAGCAATTAAACAGATCAATACATCAATAGCTGTGCATTTAAGCCTGGCTGCAGTTCAAACACAAGATGCAACAGCTTCATTCTGTCTTCTCAATGTCTTTGCTTTACATCTGTGTGACTAAGGCTCCAATATTAATAGATTTCATGCAGCAGCAGCTCAGGGAGCTTGAGAGCTCTGTGCTGGGCGTCTGTTCGAGCTGACGCCGGTCCTGAGGAGGAGGATGGGCTTGGAGGTGTGTAATTCAGAGCGTTAGAAATCTAGCAGTTTGTGCCATGACGCACTCTCACAGTGACTCAGGTAATGACTCCTTCTAACATGACTGAATCACTTCACAGCACAGGGTGAACTCACCTGTCAAAGGCGTTCGAATGCCAGAGACTGATTTAAAGATAGATTAGAAACAGTATGTGAGCTGCTATGCAGTGAAGCTGTGTAATGTGTATCGTAGATGTCTTATTAAAAAAAAACAATATCAAATGATTGCCTTTACAATTATAAGAGAATTTTAGGGATTTAACCATTGAATTAAAATGGGACAAAGAGATCTGCATTATGTTTCAATGGCGAAAGGGTTATTTTAGTACTGTAAGAATGTGTTTATGACATCTTCCACGGCATTCCAGAAACATCTGAACAGTTCCTAATGTAAGCATGAATGCTAAACAATGATTATTAAATTAAACACTGCACCTGGCAAATAGCCCCAGGGGTCGATCTGCATTGTGCTTGTAATTTATCTGCAGCCTCTTTAAAACACATCTCTCTGATGTCAGGGTGTTCGCAGAGATGCATTGAAGGTGTTCTCTTTAGTCAAACACTCAACTTGTCAGGCTTCTCCACTCTGTCCTTTAAGAGCTTTTCCCAGTTATTTGATTTTAGCTTAAGTTAAAGTGATAATTTGTGTCCAGGAGTTTAATTGTGCAGTAAATCCACCAGCTTTCTTGGTTTAACTAGGAAGAGATATTAATTTGGCAGATCAACAGTTTCAAAATATTTGAATGCTCCAACTAAGGTGATGTAATTAAGGGGTACTGGGACCGCTATTCTTAATTTAAGTCAATAATCTAGATTCTGGTGGCAATAATAATGTTTAATAAACTAAACATATCTATTAGTTTGTTAGTAAACAAAACAGTTTGAATGCCCTGAGCCCAGTCATTGTCCTCCAGGCCCAGACGCTGGACTCAGATAGTTAGAACAGAAAACTGCAATCTGACTGCTAATTTCACGATGTCATTAATGGGTGATAACAATAAGAGCTTCTGCATGTTACTGTATTCTTTCTCACAGTTCGTAAGAACTGTTTTGCATATTAAACCTCTGTTCATAAGGTGCTCAAGGCTCCAAGCTTGTTAGGAGCACTTCATTAGTATTACTAATTTATGCATTTTATGCTTTTATGTCAAAGTACTTGCATTCATAACCATTTACACAGCAGAGCATTTTACAGCAGCAGCAGTCTGCATGAAGAACTCTGCTTCTGCTCAAGGGTACAACAGCTGTGTCCCATCAAGAATCTGAACCTGCAACCCTTCCAGTTAAAACCCGCGAATCCCAAATAACAGCTCCACACCAGCCCATCAGGCCATGTTGGGGGAAGGAAGCCAAGCCCAGATCCTGAACTAATATCCCACCTTCCTTTCTCAACTCGCTGTGAGACCTCTGGTGTCGGGGGTCCTTGTCTTGCACTACAGAGCTGTTAACGAGGCGTGTGGGGAGCTGCTGGTAGCCCCACAGCCAAAGCCGGACGAAGGGAGTGGGGTGACCTGGATCGCCTTGGCCTGCTGGGAGTTCGCGACACACGACAGCAGTGCTCCTGCTCAGCTCCGAGGCCCCGAGACCCCGAGACCGCTGCGGCAGGCTAAATCCTCCCTTCACTCTGTTTTGCAGGACAGGCAATGTTTTGCAGGACAGTGCCCATGCGGTCCTGCTCCTCTCAGGCTGTGATCAGGACTCGGAGGCACAGGGCCGCACGCTTGGCACTCGTGGTGCTGAGGAGCTCGTAGTGCTCCTTCTTCCAGAACACAGTGAACTCTAGTCCCCGGCATTTACTGCTACAGCTTCACATCTGTTTAGAGAAACACTGTCCCCAGGGGTTTCCTCAATTGTGGGGGTTCTTAGGCTTTACTTGTTTTGATGTATTTTTTTGCTCTCTAACATATATTTTATGTAATTTTTACCTGGACACCACAGTAATAGCCAGAAGAATTAAATTAAGGCTGTTATTTTCAGATTCAACTGGAAATCAGCATTTGTGCTCCTAAAAAAAGAGAGTGGACTTTGACTGTCACTGAATGTAACTGACAGAAAAAAAAATCTGTAAAAATGTCGTGCTCCAAACTAAAACCTTTGAAAACAACACTGAAATATCGAAAGCAAATAGGTAAACTAGAGGTAATATGATTTTCACTCTTCCTCTAATATTTGTCACCGAATTAACCAGTAGCACGAGTATGTAAATACAAACGGAACAGCATGACCGCCTTTCAGCGACGCGCATGTGTGACCTCGACACACAACCCGATCTCCTGAACCCAAACATGCGAAGTTGCTCACTGACAACTATTATTAAATCAGCTGTGCGGATGCTCCTATTTTTACAGTGCAGCATGACTTTTTAGTTTTAATGAGGTGAGACATTAGATATAAATAGAGCATCATGTTCTTCCCCAGTGCTGAAAATAATGAACTCATGGCGAAGCAATTCCCCCTGCCTAAAACCTGTGAAAAGCGACAGGTGTGCGCAGGGTTGCCATGGAGACAAGTAACCTGACACCAGGGTTTGGGAAGGCTTGTTCGGCCGGGCCAGCCGGCGGGACCGCTGGGGTACTAACCAGCCCGCTCTCGGGGGGTGTCAGGAGACTAGGAGAGCAATGTGGGGAGAAGACCGAAGAGAGGCGTCTGATTTAGGGGAAAAAAGAGCTCGGTGAAGCCCCCTCCCTTTACAAACAACTCGCAACCTAGTTTTCGTTTGAGTGCCTCCAGGGGAGGTGCAAATTGCCAGAAGGAAAAAAAAAAAGAAAAATCCAGGTCAGAGATGGCTTGTGAAGATAGGCACAGTTTCATTTTTTAAAACAGTTTTTTTTTCCTTCAAAGCTTTTCAGCACAGTTTTACATACTGTACATTCTGACCACGCAGGGTAAACAAAGTGCCTTGGTCGCCCAACAACCCGAGCCCGAGGAGAGAGAAGAGATTGAAAGAAAGAGGCTTTAGCGCCATAGACGAGGAAAATACGGTTACAGGCAAACGCGTTCATCCAAGAGAACACGGCTAAAAATAATAACATAAACACGATTTATTTGTAACAAGTAAACAATACAAATCTTGTTTTTGATACTGAAACATTTATAATTAAGATTAGGTGTATTAATGTCGCTGTGTGCACATACAGTACTAACGCGCTAGTCAGCTAGTGTATGAATAGAGGCGGTGAAGAAATCACATCCTTAACATATCAGCGACACCTGAAGACAAAAGGCAGAGCTGAATACTTACTGGTTTTCTCCACTAGGGGGCGAGTTTTGACAAATATCCCCCATTCGACGGTCTCAGATCGCAGCACACTCAATCCAAAAAGAAATCTGTTTAATATTAAACCCAGACCTTAATAATGATAGCAATCGGATACTGTTTTGATCTCCAAGAGACATATGTCACTATATCATGATTGTAAATCAAAATCAGTCACAAGTAATTCCAAAGTGTTTCTACACCTTACCTGAGGGTTATTTCTACAGCATAAGTTTATTATGTTTATTAGTTATTATGTTATGTTAATCTGATACACATACTGGGTTTTGGTTATGTTTAAATTGCTTCATCTACAACCAGTCTGAGCTGTAACCAGTTAGATACACATGAAGTGAAGGGTCTCTGTTTGGAGCTGAGCGTCCCTCGTCACACATCGCTTGACTTCTGTTGAAGACATTTCTGGCATTTGTTTGTTTTGAACTGTCTGGATAATCAGAACTCCTTGTTTTACCTGGAGGGCTTCATTCCGCGTGACATTTCACCCCCAGATTGTTTGTAGTTTTTCCACTCCGGTTAAGGAGGGAGTTTTCCCATTCCTGAAGGAGCTTGTGGAGCAGCTCTCACACACTCGCCAGCCGCAGGCCGCGCTGTGGCAGTGGCGCCTCGATGTGGTCATCCCCAGCGGGGTCACTGTGTTGCTGGGCCCTGGGCACAGTCTTTCTGAAGAGTGACAGGAGATAGCTGTTGCTTGGCCACATCAGTCAAATCTAATGGTTTTGGGTACCACAGCACCAAAATAGGGTAGAAAACTCAAATAAGCCAAACCTATGTTCTGTATTGCAGAGCGAGACATCTGTTACAGACATTTATAAGGACTGAGGAAAGGTAGTTTATTGCTCTGAGCAAAATCTGCTTTTTTTTTTGTCTTTTCTCGTTTGGCCAGATTGGCAAAAGGCAACAAAGGGAACAAGATTTGTATCTTTATGCTCGTGAATTAAATTAACTAAAGCTCGGAGAGCATGAAGTTAGCCACTGATTAGAGCAAGCGCAGTCCTGATAACGACAGCCTCATGAACAAATACTTTCCTAATGTAGGCAGTCTGACTGTTACCATTCAGAATAAAAGTAATAAAATTAAAGAGATTTTGGTCAATACTTCTTTTGTTAAATTATCCAATATGGGAAGAAAACTGAAGAATTTGGGACAGTAAGAGTTCTGGAAAGATGCAATCAATATAACTACTTCCCCAAGCAGGCTATCCCAGGAATAATGACATTTGATCCATAATGCAAAACTGTGACGTTGTCCAAGTTTTTCCTAGTCAGTGACGATATTCCGATAGCAGATCTTGCTGAAGCCAAGTGTGTTGTAAGAGCTGGTAACACTTTGCCTGACAGCAATGAAATTCAAAAGCAGATGCAGTTGGCTGGGAGTGAAGCTGATAGTTTCATGGGAGCTGTTGATGTACGATCTTTGATGTGTGAAATTGTAAAAGTATACAAATGAATTTTCTATGTACCTTTTTACAATTGTTTGAACATATCAGCTTTGCAGATGTGCGCTTACGAAGCGACAAATGAACATATAATAGCATTGTATTGCTATACAGTCAATTACACCTGAAGTATGGAGATGCATATTTGCTGATACACCTCCTTTATTTAAAATAAAAATAATGCAGTTTTAGAATTGGCTTTAGTCATGTTCCCAAGATCAACAGGGCTTGACTGCATTGCACAATCCAATGTTTTGTTAACTTCTTGAAAGCACATGAGCACCCTTCCAGAATCAAGACACCAAATTTTTGTGTCACCAAAATGTTTTCAACATTTGGAACTTTTCTAGTACCTGTATTTGACTTGGCTTCTGAGAAGGAATTTAATATAAAGTTTTTTAAACTGTTCTGACTATGAAAGACAAATAATTAAAAGCTCTTTATCAAAATCTAGGAAATAAAGCAATATAGACGTTTTTGTATTTTCTTACTTAACACATCCATTTGCATTTCTAGTTATTTGGCAATTATAATGCATAAGTATGTAATGTTTTTTTTTCTTGTCATAAAGCAGAAATATGTGAAAATTCCATTTTTTTCTGTTCTTTTTCTCTGTACAGAACTGGAATCCTTGTCTGCCTCAAGCCTGCAAGGGTCATTGATCTGTTTTTCCTCTGTCAGACAATCATAACACACCTACTTCTGCATCCTCATTACACACAACTGAAGCAATAATGAAGACATATGTTTCTGCATGAGAAAATTATCAACACTTACTTCACAACATTGAATATGTTTCTCTGCGGACTAGGCATAACTCATATTAATAGGGCAGGCTGGGCCTCTCGTTTATTTTGATTTATTTCCAGAGCGCTCTGGCTGCTGTTCAGGAGCAAACGCAGGGGACTCGGTGTCCTGTGGGTAATCCGCCACCCCACGTACGGAGAGCAGCCGTAGACACAGCCCCATTACGGCAAATCTCGTTCTTTTCATTTCTCTTCAACGTGAGCAAATAAAACGCTTTTTGGTGCTGAGTTTGACGGCTATTTTCAGAATATCAGGAGCGACATGCCGTTCTTGTGTGGTGAGCAGGCAATCGCAAGTGATCACAGTACATGTTGCACTGGTGTGTCATGGTCAACGAGCTGCCTTTCTGTCATGCTTTCCTCATCTGTTTACAGAGCCCTGCACACAGATCCACACCCTTTCAATGATGTCCAATTAGGTTGAATTACAAAAGATACACATATTTTTGAAGTGAATATATTTAATCAAAATTTGAAGGGTCAAACTGTTTATGTTTATGGTGAAAGAAGTTAAATGTCAGAAGAAAAAATGTCGATCGCAGATGTATTGGGCAATGTTTGTGCCCATTCTTGTTTGTACACTTGCCTGAGCTCTGCCCAGCTGGTTGGGGATTGTTGATGGAGCACAACATTCAAGTCTTGCCACAGATTTTCTATCAGATTCAAGTACTTTGACTGGGCACATCAGCAGTGTTCTTTATCGTCTTGTCAAGCCATTCTGGAATAGATTTGGCAATGTCCTTTGGGTTATTGTCCTGATGAATTATACATTTTCATTCCAATTATAGGTCACCCAGCAGCAGATTTTCTCCTATGACTTGCCTGCACTCCCCTCCCGGTCTTGACAGGCTGATGAGAAGCACTGTGCTGCCACCTCCATGCCTGACAGCTGGGATGGTGCTGACAGGCTGGTGCACCGTGTTGGGTTTGTGCCAAATGTAACGCTTTGCACTTAGACCAAAATGTTTCAGTTTTGTCTGCTTGAAATGTAAAAACTTTGCTGTACCACTTAAACGTTTTGCTGCCAAGCCCATGTGAGATTTGCCATGGTTTTCCCATACAGGCCAACGTTGTGGAGCGGAGGAGATATTGTGGACTCATGGAGACCCACCCTTCCCACCAAAGTCTTTCAGATTCGCCACTGGCCTCATGACAGCGCCTCTCATCAGCTCAGTCTGGAGGGGCAGTATCACCTCCTTATGATCCACTTCACCGCAAAGACCCATCTTCTGAGCTCTACCTTTCATAGCTCAAGGGTTTAGTTATTTGAAAGCTCACAGGACGTCATTATTGAATCTTTGCTTGAAATTACCAAATCAACCTCCTCTCATTTGAAACCTTTCTTATGGTTCTAATTCACAACACAACAGAAGGACCCTACTAAGACAGATGTATTTATTCTGAAAGGATGTGAACAACTATTATTGCAAACAGACAAAGGCCATTTAACTAATTGTGAGATCTGTCAAAATAATTTTATGCACCTAAACTAACTTACCGGGGATAGACAATAAGGTCTATACATACAGTACATAGTATCAGCATAATAGATATTTATTTTTCTTTGTAATTTAATGTTTTAACCCTTAAAAAGTTCAGTTTGAGCATTAAAGTACTGATTAAATATTCACCTTAAAATGTGTCCACATCAAAAAATGGATACCACAAAAGGTGGAATTGACTCAATAGAAAATTTATTTTTCAAACAAACTAAAAAAAAAGAATGCAACACTAGCAAAGAAAGTGGTTAAACTACAGTTAACTTTTTTGTTAGCATTTTTCATTTATATCAGTTTTTATTTATGTTTTGTGAATGCTGCCATTTTATGCTGGTTTTGATCATTCATAAAGTGCAGTGATGTAATGAAAAGCAACTAATAAACTATTTGCTCTCTACACATACATTTGTTCAATCACATATTTAATATTTAAACAAAATCAAATTCACAGAATGTAGCTTTTAAGAACTGTGAGTCTGCAGCAGAAGGTGGCAACGCTGTCCTAGATCTGTTTAACAACCATTCCTTTGTGTTTCCATTTTTGGTCTTAAAAAAGAAGAGCTCCAGTTTTTAGACAGTACATTGAAAGAAACTAAATATTCAATCACATAAGAGGGCTATAAACTCAATATGCACTGCGCATTGTTTTGAAAAAAGAACGAGACAAGTGGTAAATATTTCAGAAGGGTTTGTAGAGACTACTTGTGTGTATTCATCCATTCCATGCTATATAATGTTGTGCAAAGTCATTTAACCTGAATTGCAAAGATGAAAGTAAAAAACACATTTACTGTTTTTCTTTATGTTACATAAATTCTGTCGGTGAAAAGTGAATATTCCTGTCCTACATAACAATATTCTGCAGTGATACAGGGTCTGCAATGCTTGACCAAGTACAGGTCAGGTCACATTCTGGAGACCCCAGATACCAGCCAGGCAAATGAATGCTGTGCACAGATACAGTAGCGAAATCCAGACAAAGTGCCAAAAACATGCTGTCAGTGCTGGGTTACACCTTTTGAAACAAAGAAAGGACAGTTAAAAAAATTACATGCATATCTCACTATATTTAGAGATCTTCAAAAATAAAATAAAATCATTTAAAAAAGTCCCATGATTCTGTAGAACTATTATGACTACAGAATGGAAGTGTACTGTACAAAAGATAGAGCTCATTCATGAGTCTCCATAGAGTACCGTCAAGCCAGTGCCGGAAAATAAACTGAACCGCCATGGAGAGTCTTTGTTAATTCCCATGTATCACAAAAGCCCTGGGCCGGCGGTGTGTCTCTGTTCTTGTCTGATGCTACTACATCACAGGCTGAGCACGTGAGACGCTCTCGGCGAGTTTTGTACTCATATACAATCAGTGTTCGAATGAACTGGACCCGCAGTCAGGGTTCTGCAGCTGTGAAGTGGCTCGGGCTGGGGGCACAAGAGTGGCGCTGGGCAGCTCTCCTGGTTCCACCCCAGTTCCTGCCTGCGGCCTCCAGGACCTGCCGAGCACCGAGCGAGACCGACTGACGCCGCCGCGGAGTGTGACGGCCGCTCGCGCCGCCTCCTGTTCAGAAGTCGGCGGGCCGCACCATCATGGCAGTGGAGCGCAGGGAGTAGCTGGGCCCGCGGAAGTGGTGCCACTTGATGCCGTTCAGCTTTCTGATGTTGTGCCCGGCTGGGTAGTACATGCCATTGAGATTGGAGAGCCCGCAGGCGTCAAACCACCAGCCTGAAACAGAGCACCAGGGCGGGAGACATTAGTTCCAGGACACGTCCTCTCGGCTCCATTAACATCCCAACTGCACACCAGAGGCTGCGTGGAAGCATGGCTGGTTCTGTGACAAAGTGCACAGGGCACACCGGAGGGCGGCGGCTGCGCGCTCTGTTACATGTGTTTTCTAATCTGGAGCTGGTGAGGACAGAGGCCTGTCAGAGCTCTGCTGTGAAGGTCAGACACAAGGCTGACATATTAGACTAAAGAGAAACCCAAACGCTCAATAAGCACTCATCTTGAACAGTGAATGAATGCAGTTACTAACACTTTACTCATGAAACTAAGCTCTGGAACATTTCGTGAAATGTGCTCCGAGGCCTCAGAGAAGCAAGGCTACGGGACTGTGACTGACAGGACAGAACGGTGGAGTCACTGTGCTGTATTTCTCCATGTGGTTGGTCCAGTTATGCTTCCACGAGATTCACCCTTTATCCACCTTGAGTTCAGCGGCCAGGCCCTGGATATCCGGCACCCTAGCTGCCCTGAAACTGCTCTTCTCTGAAACAAGGGCGAGGGGATTCTCCCTTGTGGCCACAGTGGCTCTCTGCTTCTTCCTGGGGAAAAGTTCCTTGTTCGCCGTATGAACCTACTGTGCTTACAAGTGCTACGGCATTAAAAGCAAGGATGTCTTTCGTGCACTAAAAATATTTAATAGCTTATATATTTTCAAAGCACCCAGTAATCACACTGCAAGAACCTCCCCTCCCCATAACAGAGATACCATATAATTCATCACTGATTATTTTAATACCCTTTTACTCGGCTGTTGTTTAACTTGGATGAAACAAGTTGAGTATTATTTTTCTTTTTTCGCTTTAAGAGTTTTGATTATGAGTTACTATGCAAACACCGCAAATCCTTCAAAAGGGTTCCAGCTGTGTGAGAGCAATTAACTGCAGCAACTTTCAAAAGCTATCAGAAATCAGAATATTAAAAACCTATTAATCCCAAGGTTGACAGTGGGTCAGTTATGTTACTCCTTCTGCTGAAGAGTAAATATTCTTGATTGTAGATCCCTTGAAAGGCAATAAAGTAATTAGAAAGTTGGATTCCTGGTATGTTTTACATAACTACTAGACAAGGGATGTTTGCGGGAGATCATAGCTTTGTAGTAATTCTTCTAGAGTCATCTTCTTAATACTGTGCAAAACATATTCTTTCTGTCAAGGGATCATGCCCTAACGTTTAGACTTTATTCCTGAATTACTCTAAATCTCCTGTGTGCAGACCGAAAAACATTGTATAATGCTAACAATTTTTACATTATGTAATTAAGAAGATTGGCCAGCAACTCTTTTCTTATTAAAAAGTAATATTTTGGATGGTTATCTGCGGTACATATTGTTTTAGATTTCCCCCAGAATATTAAACATGACTGCTGAATTTTAAGCTGGACGTACAGAACAAATCTTTTTAAAAAAACATCATAGATGTTTACAGTTAATATTGCTATACTGAAAATAGTGTTTTAAAATATTAAATCTCAATCTACATCTTAGCAGAATGTATCAGTCACGCTGTCCGTATGCAGTTTACAAGGGCACCTTGGCACACAGCTGCCCACAGAGCAGCGCTGCACACTGCTAGAGTTTGCTCTGCACGCCCATCGCACGCCCCTGAAGGAGCTGGCGAGACGGCAATCTGCCGAGAGAAAATGTCAAACCACTCAAAGCTGCTCTTCCCAGCATCGCATAGCACAACCATCCGATTTCCTGACTCTGCTCAAGCCTGCTTTTTATGCTATAGGAGCTTCTGAGTGCATATTCATCAGAGGCAGCACAGGATTCTTGTTTCTGTTTATTGATCCATCTATTTCTCTCTGTCTTTCTATGAAGTAAAGCATGCTCTTGCTTCATGGGTTTATCTTTAACATTTCATATCAATGAGTTTGTACAACAATTCCTAACTGGTGCATCTTACTGCACTGCTGCTCTGTATAGGGTCTTGCATTGAAGGCATCAGTGCTGGAGCTGTGAGGAGGAAGATACTGTAAAGAACTGCTCCAGGTGCACTACAAGAGCACAGTTCACTGTAGTGAGCGCAGGTGGAGGTGCTTATGGACCTGGACCAGGGGACACGGTTGTACTTGTGCCTTCTCGTGTTCCCCAGTTTCCTGCTTCACCTCCTTGCCCTGTGCTCCTCTGTGATTCCAACATGCTTAAAGAGCCTCTCACCGCCGGTCAGCATAACAGCACACTTGCACAGGCAGTTATCGTTGTCCGAGTCTCGTGTGCTGAAGCTGGTGCTGTGGGCCCCCAGGCTGCTGTGCTGTCCTGCTGTCCCGCTGTATCCCTTCAGAAAGAGCCTGGGAAACACAGAGAGCAGTGCGGTGAGCCCCCCAATTTCGACTCCCCCTTTACCGCAGCGCTGCCTGGCGGGGCGCCCCGCTGCTCCTGCACAATTCCGAGCACTGCGCAGACAGACATGTGGCCATGAACAATAGCCAACTCCAACGCAAGTTTTTTCCCATTCGTTTTTTTTTTAAAAACAGAGACACAATTACTGCATTGTTTCTTTTATGTAATTGTCACGGAACGTATTAGAAAAGGGTGGTAATTACTGTAACTGTCGTAAGGAGCTGTGTGTGGTAAATCGGAAGGAGCCCTGTCATATACTCTCCATCCCTGATCCAGAACATGTGCCCAGTGTATTTAAAAATAAAAAAATACGTGCTAATAATATCTAGCTTTCAATATCTAAATTTGTCAGCCACCTCCACTCCACCTGCAATCCCCGGTTACATTTCATGTGCATGATTGAGCACAAATTACATGACAGAAATAGAGTCTACAGTTACACAGCACATACAGCTCCACAGAGCCGTCTTCTGCAGCACTACAGATCAGAGCAGGAGGTCAGCTGTCCCCTACAGTATGAAGACTCCCTGCAGGCAAGATGTTTCTCTTTCTCTGAATTTCTCTATTTTTTCACCTTCAGATTTAAACCATAGGTGTCCTTTTAAAGAGAGTTTCATATGTGTGTCATTAAAGAAAAACAGGCAAAGAAGAAATGCAACAGTCAGTTTCTAGAGAACACTCAAAAGAACCTTTTTAATGTTTCCATTTGGAAACTGTCGGCAGGGGGCTCACTACCTAACTGACCATAAAAGATCACAGAACATTTCGTTCTTTCACTTGTTAATATGCTCACATGCTTCAGTGGGTTTTTAATAATGTGTATTATGTGGACTCACATATATATATACATTTATAGAATGTATACATTTATAGTAATAATTTTTTTGAATTTTCTAATTCAACATTATTTAAGAATCAGAACTGTAAGCAGAACATTTTTTATGAGACTAGATGCTGCTTTATTTGTTGACCTCCCTTAAATTCCACCCGCAGTCTATTCAGAATCTCCCAAATCTCAAAAACACCTGGGTATATTTGGTTAGCTACTGAACCCTGTAACAGTCATGCAAATTACAGCTATTTTTACCTGAGGCTGTAGAGTAATCCTTCGACTGGGCAAAAAGCCTGGTTTTCATAAACCTGATTTAATGATTGAGCAATTGAAATTCAAGACAAGAATACAGAGGAAAAAGTGAATTACAATGGCAATAAATCCTGGTTTCTCAGATTAACAAGCTCAAAAGTACTGTATGCTCACATTTTTTATAATTGCTATATATTTAAAATGCATTTCTATAAATACATTTCTAATTATATGGAATCAGAGTGTTATCATACAAACCTACCTATTATATAGGATTCAATTATTTCAAGCAATACAAGTAAAATGTTTAAATATGATATTCATAATTGTTTTTTATTTATTTTTTAAATGCTTAAAAAAATGCAATAAACTTCCAGTTTCCACTGAAACATGGACAAATGGATGAAATGAAAACTTTTCAATGAAGATATTTTTTCTTAATCCCTGGGAGGCAAAGATTCTTTGGCTTGTAGCTGCTCAAGGTTTTACAGAGCACAGAGTGTCCAGAGCTCTCCTATAATTTTTATGGAAAAGATGTTTTCAATTATGCCACACAAAGTTTGTTTGATTTTTGATCGATGCTCTTTGTCTGGTGTGTTTGGCAACTGTGCACTGATCTCTTACTTGGAGAGGGGGCATTAAGAGCCACCTTGGGAACCCAGCTCTGCCAGAGCAAGAGCTCATAAACATTGCGGTGAACCGGAAAGAGAAACAATGTGACCCGCCACCCTTTGCAGAAGGCACATCAGTAGATGAATTGCACACATATTTACGCGTTACCAGCTCTTTACAAAGCCCTCACAAGCTGACGCAAAATAAGTCCAAAACAAAGGGCTCAGATTTCCTCTATTATTTGCATTAACTGGTAATTTTAGCCTTTTCATTGTTAGTCACACTCTGCTGCTCACACAGTAACCTGGCAAAAACGTGCACTCATGCAATGGCAAGAAATCTCTCCCAGTTGCACGAACTGAGGGTCATGCTTCCTGGAGCTGCCGGAATATCTGCTGAGCAGGGCTGGACTGGAAGGTGCCCAGTGTAGCTGCTGAGCAGGGTTTGGTTGGAAGGAGCCCCAGTGTTGCTGAAGCACAAGAACTGCTGCGGGCCTTGCTGAAATGAACTATTGCATACCTGTAGTGCTGCTTCTCGCTGCCCAGCTGAAACCTCTCATATTGAGAATACGGCTCGTTTCCCTCCCAGTCAAGCAGCCCAATCCGCAGGGAGTAGGAGCCCTGGTTCGTTAGGAGGTGCACAGCCTCGTTACCCAGCCAGTACTCCCCTGAGAGATCGCCGAAGCCCTGCGGGTGAAAAAAAGGTACCTGTAGCAGTCCCTAGCCAACACCCAAGTAAGAGTAGAATGTGTAGAGAGAAATAAATGCCAGTTAATGACAAGGAATGCCTGACAAGTAGAAAGCTTTGAGTGAATTGCTGCTGGCAATACATACAGTACTTCATCCTAGCAAAGACATCTAAGGCCTTTGCACAACAATGTAGATGAAACACAATTATGTTATATTTTAATAATATTTGTCTGTGTTACTCTGTATAATCACTCCAGAGCTGCGGAGTATAAAGAATGTCAAAACAGTTTGGAATTTCCAGAGAGATGCCATTGCAATTTTTACCCCTGCTCTGATGTCACTAGCCATCCTGAATGGACAGCACTGCTCCCTTGGTGCCATGTTGGCAGTTGGTCTGTGTGTGATACTCAGGAACTGGCACAGAGACAAGCAGACTCTGATGGGAACTAGGAGCACAACTACTTCATTTCATCTGACGTTTCAGGCTTAAACTGACATCTTACTCTGTGACAGAATAGATATCAGAAAAAGTTAACCCAGTCAAACATTAGTTTGCATTAAAATCTGTGTGTCCAGTATGAATATACTCTATATCATGGGTGAAAGAGCTGAAAAACTGTAAGATCTGATGTAGCTGAGTAGTAATCACCATTTTATACTCTCTCCATGTCTTCTGGAAATCAACACTGCCATTGATTCTGCGCTGAAACACTGTCCAACCACCTCCACTGGTCTCCATGTCACAGAATACCTGCACGCCAAATACATGACTGTCACATAACACAACTATGTGATCTGCCCATTGTAATAATAACAACCTTTGCTCTTACATATTGTAGTAAAAAATTACTGTACACCTTTTAAACATTAGTCCAACTTGATGCAGCGACATATAAAGGAAGCTGCAAAACAGAAATAATCCCAAAATTTAAATTTAAAATTTTATAGTCAGCTTTTAGCAGTGACATTGGTTTGAAAACATACTACATATATAGTACAGATACAGTACATAATTAAGTTTCTTAAGGGATTTCTTTCAATCCCATGACTGGCATATATTGGCCATTTATATGTTATATTATTCCTCCTATAAAAGGGAAAGTCGGTCCCTTTTCAGGCCATCCTATAAAAGGGAGCATGCAAAATATTTAAATATTAGATACATCATGAAAGGAAGAAACCATGCAATAAATGTGTTAATAAAGGACGGGTACCTTATTGATAGTTATCAGGGTTTTTTTTTGTTTTCTAAAATTCTGAACAAAGACATCATACATTGGTCTGACCTTGATAGGCTCTGACATGTTGGTAATGTGGATCGTGTAGACTCCACTGACATTGTGCCCTGCTCGGTAGGCTTCCGCGCAGTCTCTGAAAATCCTCTCTTCCATCTTCAGAGTCACTGTGCAAAAACAGAACACCCCCTTGGCATTAGCAACAGCAGAAAATGAACCCATTAAAGCACAGGTACGAACTTAGTACTGTCAGCATTCAGCAAAGAGAACAAGAGCTTTAGGTTAGGAGGGATGAACAAAAACTTCACCCCTTAAAACAAATGTTCCCTGAAATGCTAACAAATCAGTTAATGAGACAGTAAGGGATTTTAATTCAGATTAAAAAACTCAAATGCACATTTTTACTTTAAACATACATTACTGTACATTACTGTACAACAGTGTTTCTGTTTGTTTTTGCTTCATGTTTGTATCTGTTTTCTGTTTGCTGACAGAAGACCTGTTGGATCTGTAGTTGTACGGCACAGTCATATTTGTTTCGAAAGTTAATAACCATTCGTCAGGCCTTAACTGAAAACAGTTGTATTCCCTGTGACCAGAGCTGCTCTGTAAATGGCCGTGAACACATGCTCTAAGGGGTTTGATTCGGGGATCATGGGGAAGGTACCTAAAGCACAGAAATGTCTGAAGTGGATCCAAGCCTTTCTGAGCCTTAATGCTGAGAAATTATTTTTCAAGAGAGAAGGCTATGAAGATCCAAGGGCAGTGACGATCACAACATCCAACACTCGGAAGTGTTAAGACTGAAACCAAAATCAAGACCATATTCATATTTTCAATGTTAAGTTCTCTTGCTAATGGCACAGGTTTCCCCTAGTTTAGGTGCCAAGTCCATGGCATTGATGCCAAATCGCATAGGAAGCAGTTTGGTACCAAGCTGCAGAGAAAGGTGCAAGACAGCACTGCCCCTGGCAGTGCCAGCATTCCTGCTGCCGAGCTGGCAGCTCTGAGAGAGGTGGGAAACTGGTGGATGGATACAGATCTCTGTTTTGTAACATTAAAACAAGAAGGTCTCACTAACACTCTCAAGCAAGAGATCACCATTCTTCTGAACTCTCAGTACCAGACAAGCAGACGGTACATCTCTCAGTACCAGACTACCAGACTGCTTTCCTTAGCTAACTTTCATTTTTTCTGTACTGAACTAAATTGCATCAACAACATATATTCCAGTGTTGTGGAAATGTTTCTGGTAGTCTGCGTGGTTACACATGAGGTTAGTTTATTTCAGTTCTATAAGAGTAGCCAAAGTGTCACAGGTTTCTCCTAGTTAGGTGCCATTCCATGGCAGTGGTACACTCTTTTGGTGTATAGAACTTGTCTGGGGTTGTGGATGTCCCACACAACATGTTCTACAGATACTGTGTGCGATGGAATATTCAGATGATTCAGCAATGTCAGCAGGACCTGAGAATCCCTGGTCAGTAGCATGTAAAGTTACCTGAGTCAGCAGAAAGAGGAGAGACCTGAGGCAGAGTCAGTTACCTGAAGCTGAGTCATCAGAGTGAGTTACCTGAGTCAGCAGAGTCTGAGTTACCTGAGTCAGCAGTCTGAGTTACCTGAGGCTGAGTCAGCAGTGAGGAAGGACATGAGGCTGAGCCAGCCGTCGGAGTTACCTGCACCCAGAGACGCCAGGCTGAGGAGGGTGTGAACAGAGTCCATGAGCTGCTGCTGCTGCCTCTGCAGGACGGTGTTGTTGGTGCTGGCAGACTGCAGTTGTCGCTCCAGGGTCTCGATGGCAGTGGTCTGCCTGACCACCAGATGCTGCAGCCTCTCCTTCTGTGCCTTCATGCCCTCCAACTCAGAGCGGTGCTTCCTCTCCAGGTCCTGCACCTTGTTCTCCAGCAGGCTGGAACAACAGAAAAACATTTGTTCACAGTGCCTCTTGGAGTCCACTTTTAAGCTAGCCTGTTCAAAACCAGAGCCACTGGGCTTTTATTTTTTGCTTTGCTTGTGTTAAAATAAATGTGTTCAAGCTGTACATTGTACAATTGTCCTTCTAGTGACCCATATTTTTTTCATAGATACTAGTGTAGAAAGGAAATATTACTTGCATTTAAATGTGTTTCCAGTTAGATTGCTAACTAACGGGGGGAACGGGACTCCATATGGACAGGCCACTGCAGGTGGGATCACAGGAAGACGACTCTGTTGCTGTCATCTCACTGAGCAGCCCTGTGAACTCATTCACGCTGAAATTCCATTTGAATTACATTTTTTGTCAAGGTGAAACAAGCAGGACATTTCGATTAAGACAGGAAATATATATTTTTATGAATATTATTTAATTTGAGGTATTTCCAGTCTTAAAGCAGTTTGGATTTAAATCTCTCTCCTACCTGTTTTTGTCTTGAAGCTTCGAAATCTCACTGATTTGCATCAAGAGTTGCTTCTCCAGTTTGTGGGTGGATAAGGAGTTCTCCAACAGCTGGATCTCAATCCGGGAAGTCTGATTCATAACCTAAATCCAAAAAAAGGAGATTTCAGGCCCACGCGTTGTGGTGCAGATCCCGTTCTGCTAGCTGGTGTACTTTCTCCAAAGACAGACTGGATGAGATCCTTAGATCAATGGGTAACTAGATGGCCCATTAGCCCAATGAACCAGTTGGCCTACTCGCATCTGCAACCTTTGTCATTTTCTTTTGTTATGAAAGAGAAACCTGAAGCCAGGAAAGCTTCCTGGCTTGGGATCACCAGTTGCTGGTTTTTGCTGTGCTTTTCTATGCAGTCTGAATATGGAAGTTAAAAGGTATTGAAGAATTGACACAGTATTGACACAGAAATATGATGTTGAATTTCTGAAAGAGGTACAAAGAGAATCTGTGTGGAACCACAACCTGCTCACATACAGTATAATCCACAATCCTCCAGATTTCAGCAGAAGGAAATCAAGTTTTTATATGAAGAACTGTTTAAGGTTTGGACCACACAAGCCTCCTTCAGAGCACATTACTAATGGTTCTGCAATAATATTTTATAACCTGGTCTATTTTCCTATTTAAAGATGATTTATTATTATTTCAATGAACAACCACATTTAAATCAATTAGACACAGAGTCCAGCAGATTCCTGGCAATAGCCAGCAGTCAAACTGAGAGAGTGCCAGTAATAATGTTTTGAGGAAATAAAAAATCTACAACAAAAAAAAGAATGTATCCGCAGTTACCCACTGACAGTATTGCAGCTCCACGCTGTGTTATTACTGGGTTTGGCTTAGAGCAGCTGTGAAACAAGCAGTGGAAGCACTATTTATTAGGTGCTAAGAGGCCTTGGTAGAATCCTATGACATGGCGTAATTCTGTTCTATTGCACTGATCTTGGGGCAATGTTAGGTTTTACTGCAACACTTCCTAATTGGCTTCAAAAAGAAACAAAGTGCTGGCTTAACTGTTGAGTTTCTTCATCCATCTGTACAGTTCTTATAGGACCAGTTGTATTTATTGAGCGATTCACCCATAGTTGGCCATAAGTAGTCATTTACTCTCAGTGTTGATTTACCCTGTGCCCAGTAATCAGGCAGGCTGTCTTTTCCTCAGCTGCCTGGTGTCAAGGCATGGGTGGGCGTGAAAGGAGTTGCCCTTACAAAGGTTTCTGATCTCCTGCTAGTCCGATTCAGTCTGACCATTTTTAACGACGAGGGAATCGTTTAGAAAACGTCATTCCCTAAACAACAGGGGACTTCTGTTGCCCAGTCATTACTGAGCAAATGACATTCACAAAAAACAGATTTTGTTATAGAGTTTTGAAAAACATGCCATTCTTTTTTACGTGTTCTGGTGATGATTGTAATGAGGAAAGTGACACTGGTTGCGTTGTGCCTTGGAGGTATGAGAAGCATAGAAGTCAATCTCATCTCTGTGTGGCTGTACACGTAAATTGGACTGGTAATAAATCTGAGCCTATATCTTATGATCTTACATTGTTTACACAATGTTTCTATGCATTTTCAGAATGCCAAAGCTGCTGCAATGCTCTCATCATGCATGGTGCCCCATAGGGAACAGTCAGGAAGGCTGCACCCAGGTGCCTCTGGGGTTAAGATAGCTGCTGTACCTGTGCCTCCACCACATTCAGCTTGCGTGTCTGCTCCGCAGTCTGGGTCAGCAGGTTGGTACCGATCTCCAGCATGGTAGCCGTCTGGTTCTGCACAGCGTGGGCCTGGATCTGCACCATCTCTGTCTTGATGTTCTCCTGGATGTAATTCTCCAGCTGTTGGGTACAGAGATGAGAAACCTTGATGACGATGAGAGGGAACAATCAGGAAGCCAGCCACAGGCAAGCGAGGAAGTCTGGCCAAACACCTTCATGACTTACTTTTGTGATAACATTGTCTTATGTTATTTTCTATGTATTTTTCATTTTACATACAAAGAAATTTTTTGTCTAGCTACTGTAAGTCCTTAATTGCAGTCTGTGCATGTGAAACTCCTGTTCAACATCATTTCAATTACAATTACAGATACAGAGTCTCTGTCAAAGTGCCAGTGGCTTCACAAGGGAGATTAGAATGGGATCACCTGTTGTTTTGCAGCTCTTGTGACACATTAACTAGCATGTTACAGGAGTGTGAGTACCTGTATTTACCTGCATTTATAAGACAAATACATGGTCTAACTTATAACAGGGCAGAACATCCTCTGTACAACTTTGGAAATACAGGTACAAAAAGATTATTGCACCTTCAACACACACTGACAGCTCTTTTCCTGTTCTTTTCAGGTCAGAAATGTGTTAGCTGGGTATGCAGAAAAAGTGAACTCTTGTCTCAGAAAACTTCAAGTCTCCAGAGGATTAGAATTTGGTCTCCTGCAGATAATTAAAATATTAGGGGCTGGTAGTTTTTAGGTGTCACGCTCCTGAGTCCTGAATCTTGATAGATTTGTTTGCCTTTGGAACACGAGAAAGAGCAATTCGAGGAAAGGAAAACCCTGGGGTTTTGGCTATGTTAATCTCTCAAAAATAAACACTCTATCCCAGGATATCAGCTCAGGAACAGGAGAAGTTAAATTTATCTCAGAAGAAATATACAGTAAAACAAATTCCATATAAAAGTCATTCCCAGGCACTCAATAGAGAGTTTTACGTAGTTTAAAAAGTCAAATGTAGCCATGGTATCATAGTAACTGCCCTTAAGCATGAGAGAAACCACAAAAGCATAGCATAGTTAATCTGTTGTTCTGTTTAAGATTTTCAACCCCATCTTCTTCCAGACTGGCTGCTTCTCTCTAATTGTTTTCATTTTGTTTCATTTGCCTGTGCTGTGCCCTGCATTAGGCATGATTTGAATGCGCTTAACAGTTCAAATATGCTAGTTTCAATCCTTCATCCCCTTGAGTTCCTTGAAGAAGAGATGTTCAAGCTTATTCACAGTGAGGTGATGTTTGAAGGGGCTCAGGGCTGCAATATGAAAGTATGACACCTCCTTTCTGTGTTTAAAGATAATATACTTGGTCCATTTACTGTAGTTTACTGCTGCTGCTGAGTATGTCACACACTGCTGTGGTCACCTTAAATCAAACATTTAACAGCTTATCTGAGCAAAGGTTATTCATTTTCCATTGATGGAACTGAAGTAGTTTAGTGTTAAAAACAAAACGATTGCAGTTGAGAAAATAAATTAAGAAAAGAAAACCCATTTTCCTATTTGTTCCGGTAAACTTTCACTGTGAGTTTTAAGATCTGGCTCTGTCTAAAACTGCGTTTTCAACTGTCGGATTTCACAGGTTTTCACATTTCACAGACCTGACTGAACACTGTCATATACGAACAAGACATGTAAGAGATGCCGCTCTGCAACTTCAAGGCGAGAAAGAAGCAAGAAATACAAATGCTGTTCCTCATGTTCATTCCCCGAAGACACTGTGTGCCTTGACCAGCTAATTGACCCTCGCTTCCTGCCTTTGGACTAAAATTACACAGGACGTGCCCATGGTACTAGCTTGGGAACAGAGATATGGTTTTTAAAGGTCTGTTTCATTGCTGTTAACTTAAACCAGATGCCTAGGTCTCTCTGATCCTTGCACCTAAGGCCAAGCATGACAAGAGAACAGGGTGTTTTCTCAGTGCGAGAAAAATTACAGATCTGGAAGGAAGGATCAGTAATACTCATCGCAAATTTTTTTCATGGGTTCAGTCCTGATAGGAAGATCAGGAAGATATTGTTTAAGCATTCTTCAGTACAAGAAGGTAACAATGAGCACAACAGGCTGAAAACGAAACTTTAAATAAATACAGGCAAACGGCTTCCTGAGCCTATGTTAAACACTTGGACCATTGTTCTCTTTGAAAGTACTTGACCGTTATTGTAATGAGCATGCTATTGCTTATTAACACGGTTTCTCATTTTAACAAAGCTTCTCTTCAGCTTTTATTCAGTGCTCTGTAAACTCTGACACTGCATTGCATCCTCTAAACTGTTTCTACACGTTATAGAGGCCCCCAGACCTGTGCACACCCCAGATACAAGCTCGGCTGCCTTTATTGAATTGTATTTGGTGAAGCATCCAGAGCGCAAGTTCTCACAGATCCTGCCAAACATCTCAACCCTGCAAAGACAGACAAAGTGCCACAAGGCTGAGGACCCTGGCTGGGCTCTGTCCTGCACCACCCATCCTCACAACAGCAAAAGTCAGATGAAAATCTGGTGAAGTAGGAAATCGATGCTGTGTTTCGGAGCTCAGTATTTCAATAGCTATCTCTGATACTTTGTAACATGTGTGCGCTGTGCCACTGTGCACTGTATCACTGTTCCTTGAGAAATGAGGAACTCTGCTTTCCACTGAGAGAAATAAAAACTTCCTGTTGTATCTTCTTTTGACTCTTCTCCAACATCACTGCAGCAGCTAAACAATTTTAGACCCCCACTCCTCCACTGCTTGAAATGAAATTTCCAAAAATAATTCAGAATCGCCCAAGGCCTTGGCTGTTGTATTATTTATCATCCGAGTGGGTTAAAGCTCCTTTTCTTAATCCATGAAGTTGAACAGTGAATCAAATTAGAACCATTAATTTCCTATTTCTAATATGAATGCAAGCCTTTTTCAGGTGAAGGGTTTGGTCAGTTTTCCTGCAGTAAGGATGGCTGGAGCACCATGAGTTGGAGAATATACCCAGCAGCCAGGCCATGTGGTGGAGGAGTGGCGATGGGGTTTATCGGCCAGGTGGCCTGCTGCTGTGTGCTGAGTGAAGGTCCTTCTCCTGCAGAACACTGTGTCAATAGGTACAAAATGCTGTGGGTAAAAGCCTCAGCAAGAAAATAATCTTCCATTCTTTAAAACTATCAAGAAAATGAAAGATCCATTTCCATTGGGTATTTTATTCATGGAGTAGGAAAGCCGGGATATTACTCTGCAAATTACAAACTGAATGGAAAGCAAAGGTTGTCAAAAAATTAACAGTTTTAACTTGCTGTTTTTGAGACTTACTGTACTATACAGTGGGCTCCAAAACTATTAGTCTGACGACCAGCTTTGTGCAGATAAGCAAACTCAACTCAAAACAATGTAAATATTAGCATTTGCTTAACACAGAATTTAGGGACTTTCATTTGCTGTTTTCAGTAAAGCACAATCTTTCTGTGCTGAATGCAAGCTATCTGTGTCCTGAATGCAGGAACATCTGAATCACATTTTCTAGCAAGACTCTAAGCTGCTGCCGAGTCTATTTAACGGGATATAAATATTGTAATGCTGATACCCATTTCCAGTCCAGATACAGTGCTTGTTTTCAATCTGTTGCTTTCGAGCACGATATCTGGCATTTGACATTATCAAGAGACGTGGGGTCCTGGCTGACATTTTCATTGTCTTTGCCAAGTTTTCAAAGACTCTAATCCTGGATATCAGGGGAGTGGGAAGAGGAGATTAGGGCAAGGCAACAGCAGGAGGTCAGAGGGAGGATAAAAGGTGTTTTTTCCAAAATGATTGAGCCCAGGGTTTACACTGCCTTACAGTGGAAATGGCCTTTTTAGAAATAAATCGAGACATAGGGTCATACACACAGGGCACGTGACCAAGGGGGTGTGGAGGACCGTGAGGAAGAGTATAAAGGAAAGCGGAGTCAGTGTCTTTTCATTAGGAGCAGGGAATAGGAAAATAAAAAGGAATGGGAAAGGGAAGAAGAACAGGAAAGGGGAAAGGATTGCAGTTTTTAACTGTGAACAGGGTAAGGAATTGGAATTTAAACAAGAATGGGAAAGAGAATGGGGGAATGGAAATAGAAATAGAAATGGGAGAGGGAATGGGAATGGGAAAGGATATGATGCATTCTTACTGCAGTGTACTGTGTTCCTGTGAGGCAGGCTGCAGCTACTCCTGCTCCTCAGTCCCAGTTTCCAAACGCATTGTTGCTACTTCTGCACCATTAACTACACAGACAGAAATGTGCAAGAGAAATGGCCACTCTCTATTCAAAATTCGACATTTTCTGTCATTTTCCTCAAGAATTCAATGTTACAACCCTTGTCAATTTGTGACAAAACTGTCACGACCGCCAGCCTAACCAGATCAACCCACAAAAGAGCTAACCAGTTCCTGCAGCGGGTTGATAATAACAAACACCGCCACACGTGTTAACTCATCACCACACGCCCTACTGTGCGCCAGGCAGCGCTATTTAAGCCATCCAAACCCACTTCCTGCTACTCGGTATTGAGTCTTCTCTTAGAGAGCTCTACCCTCTACGCCTATGTTTGTACCTCGCTTACTATACTTCTCCCGGTTTCTGAACTGCTCTTTTGCCCCTCAACCCCTCAACCTTGATCCTCGCCTACTGATTTGGATTGTATGCCTCTCTTTGTATCTCCTGTACTTTGAACTACCTTTTGCCTTTCGACCATGATCTCGCCTGACGTTTCAGACTGTACGCCTGTTTCGATATCTACCTGCTCCTGGGTCTGCATAGGAGCCGCATAGCCATTCATTGGGGATTCTTTACAAAAATGTTTTGAAAAGACTCATTGTACATATGTCATATTCTGCATGTACTGTATACCCACGGAACTTACAAACTTGGAATATACTTGATCTTAGGAAACAACAGAAGATTTTGATTAGTTCAGGGTGTAACAGGTGTCAGATACAGTGCTTTCACTCTGCTCTGTACAGTATCTCTGCATTCTTGTTGATTCCAGAAATGAAGACCCAGAAATCTCTTCACTTTTCTCTTCAAAATGAAATTTCTATATTTCTTTCACATCTATTCACGACACC